TTTTTGCGTCTCGCCTCTTTGAAGGAAGAGTTGTTACCTCTCCACAGGACAGCTAATACCAGGGGGGGGAAAAAAAAATGGCAAAGTAAAATAACAGTTGCGACAGTGTTGACTGCGTCTTCTCAAGTAAAGCAAGCAAATACTCCGACAGAAATGTTTGAAAGCAAAAGAGAGTATACAAGTGAGAAGTAAAAGTCAGTGCACGCGGTATTACAAGGCTATATTCAAGCTTTAAAAATGTAGTTGAAAACGTTGGCAGCTGGATCTGAGAATAGGCTTAGAGCTCTTGTTTAACTTCCTTCGAAGCGTACATCGTTTCCAGCGTTATGCTATGCTGCCACATATGAGCAGTGGAATCATTTCACAGAATGCATACGTGCAGAGTATGTGAAAGAAGAGCAGAGAGAACCGGATTATGAACCTGTAAAAATTCAGAAAATGTCTTTGTTTTCCTCCCTTTAGGATTCGGTGAATAGGAGCCGTTCGGAAAGCCCGTGTGAGCGGTTCCATGGTGTAATGGTTAGCACTCTGGACTCTGAATCCAGCGATCCGAGTTCAAATCTCGGTGGAACCTAGCGGGTATTTTTTTCCCCACTCCCCCCCCTTTTTTTTTTTTTTTTTAAAGTGGCTATTAACGTAGAAAATGAGCTTAGGAGAAGCTCGGTGTTTTTCATCGGCTTTTTGAATGCCGTGGTCTAGTGAACGTAACGCTACCTGAAAATGATATTTAAAGGAGAGAAAAAGGAAAAACAAACTACAAAATTTCCCCATTTTTTTCTGTATTTCTGTATGTACTTTATTGTAATTATGTTAGTAGATTCTTACACGAACTATCTAAAAAATTTCAGACATACTGTAGTATATGGCAATTTAAGTATTTCTTTTTATTTCTACACCATGAACAAGCTGTGTGACAACACAACTCTTAAGTTATGCGTTAGCAAAGTGCAAAGCAATCTGCATAGTTCTGGTGCATGCACAGCGTTGGTATTAGGATTAGTTTTATGTGCTAGAAAGAAGGAAGCGTTTTGTCCTTTTGTTTCTTTTTTTGCTGTCTGACTTTGTGTCTTTCTGGGAAAGGTGTATCTTAGCAATCCCTATACTAAACAGAAAACGAATATTGCACTACGAATTAAAGGTGGAATAAAAAGGAATACTTAGGTTGCGTTACGTTTCTGGGCAGTAATCTAAGAATCAAAAGAAAAAGCATACTGAGATGATTTACAATTAAATTTGCTTTTAATAGATTTATTATGCAGCAGGGGAAAGTCGAGTGCCACCACCCGGTTCTATGGTGTAATGGTTAGCACTCTGGACTTTGAATCCAGCGATCCGAGTTCAAATCTCGGTAGAACCTACTGAGCGGCCGTTGTTTTTTTCCCCTCTTCCCTTGTGTTTGCTTGCAACTCGTGGAAGAGTCGCCCGACCTAGCGATTGACTACAAAGCGACTTTATACAAGCTAGACAAAGGCGCACACAGTAGCTGGCACGGAGTTTTTGCAAGGACAAGATGTTTAGCAAGTCTTAATATCATACACGTGCAAGTCTTGCGGAAGGCCCACAACCCCAGGGCTCAATGAGACTGTCAGGAAAACCAAAAAAAACCACCCAGAAACCAAGGAACTGAATGCCAAAGGATTTTGCTTGACATGAAGCACTATTCCTATCGCACTATTCCTAACTTTATTAAATTCAGGGATTCAAAACATGTACACCCAAGAAAAAGCTCAAACTATTTAAGGATAGTTCTTACCCTAGGCTACAACTTAATTCTTTCATTAAATTCTGCTCCTAAGTTTTATATATATTTTGTCTTAATGTCTCTCCAAAAACACTGCTTAAGTCATTCGCACTGAGAACATTCTGATTTTCGGAAGATAAATACAGAATTTGGACATTTTTCAGGTGCACCCAACTATTTACTTGAACGGTACAGTCAGCAAATGCAACAATTCAGAGCAAGTGTAACCTCACAGCTTGTGCTCTGCACCATTTAAATGGCTAATAACCTCTGCTTTGCTTGTACGAGACTGACACAACTCCTCATTGATGCTTTTCATTTTAAGAGCATCTAAGGACAACATACCATCTTGCCATCCCTCCTCAGAACCTCTCCCCACCTCGCCCTTAGTCCTTTGTTTACAGAGTGAGGGAGGATCGCCCTCTTGCACACCAAGCTGAAGATCAGCTCCCTCTTTTGCTGTGGCCAGGTAAACATCCTGGCTCTCCTTTAAAAAAAGGCAGACTACCTTTGGGTCTAGTTTTGTTTTATGGAACATAGGGGATCTAACTAGTTAAAACGTTTGCTAAATTTTTTTACTGACGAGAAAAAAAGTATTCCCATCTTCCATTTTAGGGTAATTTTCATCCCGTTTCATCCTTCACCTGTTTAAGTAGGAGGCTATGCACAAACCAAAAGCAAACCACCACTTTACATTTTAGAAGGACCCTCCCAAGCCATAGCCAAGTTTTAGATCTAGGAAAAAAAAAAAAACTATAGCAGGGTTAAATTCTAGAACAAAACCTACTCCTTAAAAGTGGATTCTGATGTTATGGGATTAAACACCTTTGCCGCTCCTTAGGCACAAGTGTTTCAAATTAATTACTGTACGTCCTAACCTTCAGTAGAACTAGTCGACCACCACAGACTACCTTCGGTCAGGAACACCCTCCCAGATAAGAGCGCGCTCTAAAGCCACTAGATGCTTGTCTGCCTTGCCAAGTTTTGATACGTTGTTTTACAGCCGTGATCCAGAAAGTTTTTCCTTCTACTTAGGAAGGCTTGAAGCGTAGCTGTAATCCAGAATACTCATAAACAGCTTATGCAGTATTACTGCTAGAGACTTTTAGAAAGTATTCATGCTAAATTCATCAAATGAGCAGGCACGTTAGAATAAAGTGTACTTGACGCAAGCTTTTACGTGGAATGAGACAGAATCACTCTGTCAGTCAGTATCAAGATTTATTAGGACAATTCATGGTCATGCTCCATTCGACTACAAAGCACCAAAATTTAGATAAATGAACATCATCCAAATATAATCCATTTCAGAGAGCCGCATACAGATACATCCGTCATTTAAAGTGATATCATAGCTCATGTCCATCTTCATAAACTCTAGTGGACAAACAAATATGAGGCGCAGTGGCTGAGGCAAACTGATTGGAGAAGATGTGGCAAAACTACTTTACAACGCACATCCCTTGTGGTAGCAGTCTCACAATAAAGTACTATAACCCAAGGGATCTACCACTTGACATGCTCCAGTCAGTAATACCCCGAGACAATTTCCAAATACAGTCTAGCATTTCCAGTCATTCTCTCCCACTCCCTCCGACTTAGTCTTTTCTAAAATAAAACGTAGAGACAGATTGTCTCAGCACAACATTCAACTGAGAAGTAAAGCACTATGGCTGTGACCACACTAGGAACTTTACTGGTTGCTGAAAAGACACCAGCAATGGAAATTATTAGTTGCTGAAAATCTTGTCATAGACCTGAACAATGCTGCTGTTTCACACAGCGTGGCTCAAGACACACATTGTCAGCAACGCTAAACTTCCCAAACACAGGTTTAAAAGCCAGAATCAAGTGTCAGGCAAGTCCTTCACTATATGTGAAGTTGCAACAAGGTTTTCCACTTTTAACCTGAAAAATTTCAGTGAAGGTAGGTGGAGAGGGGAGACTCTAAGACTCTTACAGTTAGGGAAAGCAAGGTTTTTCAAACTAGCTGTTTACAGAAGAGGGTTTTAAAAGCGTAAAATCAGCTTTACTCCAAAAAGTCTTATAAAACAGAGAAGCTGACCAAGTCTCAATCACTGTAAGTCACTAATTATAATACATACATTCCGCATAGCCACTAAAAGCTGTTCAGTTAGATGCCTTGTCCTTAAAAGGATACTGTGGTAGGCAAATGTTCTACTAGATTTTTACGTTGCTACTTCCTCAATAGATTAAAATATTCAGTAGATGAATGGTTAGTGGATTCAACTGAAAAAAAAAAAAAATTCCTTTTTATGCATTGAGCCACGAAGTTTCCCTTGTAGTGGGAGTTCAGCATAGCATATTCTAGACAGATTTATTTCATCTATTGTCCCACTCCTACGGTCTTCCACCGGCATGGAAAGTGAGGCTCTTCAGTGCAAAAGGCAAGCCCAATGGCAAGAAAGAACACGTACAGCAGTGCCAGCTACAGAAGACAAATATGTTTAAAGCTGCACGAGGGCAGAGTAGCTCTTTTGTAGCTTAGTATAGTAACATCTCACCAGAAAAGCAAACTGAACTTTTTCATACCATTTTGTCCAGTATATGCACCTAAAAAATAAGCATACTTTACAAAGAATTGAAGCAATAATTTAAACATGCTATCAAGCTATAAACCATATATACATAGAAACATGTACCTATACAAGCATAGAACAAGACTTTATTACAAGATAGTTCTATTGACATTTTTGAGGGAATTTGGGGGAAATCTGGGGGAAAACAGATAAAGCAAATGAGATCAAAGGAGTTATAATGTTGCTTCTAAAAGTAACCCGGTCAGAAATTTCATGCAACACCACTGTCCTTCTTTAGCAGGCATTTATTATGGTTTCATCTATTTAGGTCTTCCCAGGATTTCTGGGCTCCCTTCCTGTACAGAGGTAGATTTCTGTAGGTTTTCTGATATTGCACCATTTAAGTAGAATGCTTTTATTAAAAAAAGAAACTTAACTTACAAAGGCTAATTTATGGATATAATCTCATTGTCTTCATTCAGGTAGTCATAGTAGTCAAACTCACGTGCACTTGAACGAGAACATCCCTCAAAGGGAAACGTTTTATCACGTAGCTGAAAGAGGTTTACTTCAAAGCTGCAACTCTTAACAGCTTCACGTTAAACTGACTATTTCTTGGCATCAGGGTAACGTAGTCCAATCTCTCCCTCTCCTCTTGGGCCTCGGTTGTTTGAGCCAATGCCAGAACTTGCAGTGCTTTCACTGATGCCTTAATCCCATTCACTGTGTGCAAGTGAGATGCCGATTTCAAATATACAGAGGTTCTGGTAGTATTAGGTCTTGCACATACAAGCAGTTATAGCATTAAGAAATTTATATGAAGATGCATTCAAGCACTTCTTGAAGTCATTAAGAAAAGTCCCATCTGCACTTGTGAGACTGGAAAAGGAAAGCTGAAACCTTCCTAGTTTCAAAACAACTGTTAATCAAGAACTAATCTGATGTTACGAGGAAGTTAGCAGTAGTTTGATTTTTGTCCATCACATTCTTGAACACCTCTCTGACAACATATGAAGCTGCAGAAAAGCTTGCATGCAAATTCCACTTTAAGAGGTTTGTTAAATTAAACCTCTTCAACATACCGCAAAAATAAGTAGTGCACCAAAATTCACGATGCCAACGTGTAGCAATTTTGATGAACTCGCAAGCATTACCTAATACTTTTTTAGAGGCACTCCATGACATTATTTTTCCATAAGTCTGTTAACAAAAAGATAAATTTAAGTTCTGAATACAATCTGGTATTCTGCGAACCCAAAGCATGAAAGAACGGGAAGTGCTGTAATTCTGGCTGAGGTTGAATCTACCAAAGCTGTAGTATGCCCAGGCTTACCTGACCGTGAATGTTTCATTCTCGTAAAGAAGCCAGACAAAGTAGACAGCCTCATTCTTCCTAGGTGCAAGTTTATTTAAAAAAAAAAAAAAAATGAAGAGGGGGGAAAAAAAAATTCTCCTTTTGTACCAACGTATTTGCCACTATTTTTAATCAAGGATTGCATTAGAACCACTTCATACTCTTTTCCAAAGTTCAGTTTATATGAAGCAACCTGTTTCCTTACAAAACGTTGCATCAGTAGGGAATGGTGCCGCTAGTTTGGAACTGAGCAATTTTTACTAAAATAAGGATACAGAAGGCATAAATTAATTCATTACATTTCCCCATATACACACTAGTCACTGTAAAGTTTTTTTTTCTCCTTGGTTAACAAGGCAAGTACATCCCCTAGTTACTATATAACAACTGCATCTACGTTAGAATTCACGATGACTGTTTTCCCACGACAAAAGGCATAGCGTACCCGGGAATAAGATCGTCTCGCCTTCTTGGGGGAGCCCGTTTGGAAGGGAAGGGAATCCTCAATCTGGAGTAGCTTCACCAGGAATTGCACTCCCTGCACCTGGCAAAAAGTGCTTAGGTACCTTGCAAGATGGTGACTTAGAACAGAGAAATCCATTGTACACAGGAGATTACACACAGTAAGAGTTAACAAACGATAGCAGGAATCGGCTTTCAGAGATTTTTTCATTTTGTTTTTTAAAAAGCAATGGTTCTTCACAAGTGATAACTAGGGAAAGCATCTCATTCATTCAGCTAGTGCATAGCATCTGCAATTGCATAGAATGTTTCCAGTGATGAATGTGTAACTAACCTAAGCAAGTCTTCTGCGAGTTTGATTTGTTACCATTTGATATCCAGATTGCTTGCTGTTTCGTTTACCACACTGTACTTGGTGTGCAAAGTATCCTGAACCTTCTTGGAGTCCATGCCTTCCAACCAGTCCTGGTACATCTTTTGTACATGCACGTTGGTTTCTGGAAGCCTAACAGGTATTGCAGCGTACACTTCTTCCATCTGGTTAAGCAGCGCTTTATCTGGCTTTCCATCTTCAGTTTGTGCCTGGCCTTTTCCATTTAAGCACCCTAAAGAAAAAGGAAAAAACCCACAAGGGTGAAGGATATTTGCTATGAGCAGAAAAACTATATTACCTTGGAAAGTGTTTTCTTAGTGCTTTAGAGAGGAAAGAAAGAAAAAGTGCAAAAAACACTCTTTGTCTTTTTACAAAAACTAACATCCCTCCCCATGCTGTTGGGATTTGTATTTACTTAAAGCCACTTCAGCATCAACAACAGCATCTTAATGTAAATGAGCTTTCCACAGAAACAATCTTTCTTTGGCTGTGCCACAGTTTTATGATCTTAAATACATTCCATGTCTTTTTTTGCCTTTGACTTCTACCATTTCAGAGTCTTTCCTCTGAGGTTTGACAAAAAGACCACGCTGTGACTTATTTGTAGGTCAGCAGAGGGCAACTACTACCGTGTTTAATTTTAGAAAACCCAGTCAATGTTTGAGCCAATCCTATACAGGTAATTGGTGTTCCAGAGCATTCACCAAGTAGTAAGCATCTTAGATTATTAAAGTAAGAAGGAATCAAATTAAGTGCCTGCCTGTAAGACAATCCTCCTTTTAGATTCAAGGTGTGCGTGCAGGAGGGCTATGGACCCACTGTCATTCTCACCTCCTGGGCAGGCGAGGACCTCTACAAAATGGTATGAAAACTTTCCCTTTTTCAACTTCAGAACCATGTTCTGGATATTTCTAAAGCCGTAAGCTGCTGCAAAACGCAGCAGTGTCTCACCATCCTTTTCAAGCGTAACTTCTTGAAAGTCCTTGTTCCTGCAAAGATACACAGAGAAGACAAGACTTTAAACCCTTTTATTACCAAAATATTGGTATTGTATTCAGATGCTTGTAAGAGAACAGAAAACTAGGGTAACAGGGGGACTAATGTGAAGACTCCTAGTTTCTAAATTATAAGTAAAACAACAGTTGGGTAGAATTTTCAGGACAAAAGTATACTTCACCAGATACATTATCAACAAAATGCAGATACATTATCAACAAAATGAAAGCCAGCAACAGCTACTTCAGAGCAATGAATTTACAGGTTTATAATACATAAAGGGCCTATCACTGGCTGAATCAGGTTAGTAGTTTGAAGTTCACTGCACTGAAGTTCACTGTAGCTCCAACTAGCCCATCCCACATAAGAGAGTACAGAATTCCAACTTACTTTAATGCTTTGTAGGTGATTTCTTTGACATCCATGCCAAAAAGCTCCTTTGCAGCATGCTTAAAAATGTGCTCCAGGTAACCATCAGACCTCTTCCCATCATGCCTTACTACATCTCCCTCCTTTATTTCACCAAACCTTAGAAAATGGCAGAAAGAAAGAAGATCAACTCAAAAACTTCATTCCTTCAAAGAAAGTAGAATTTATTCTTCCCCTTCTCTCCTTCCCAAAAGCAGCACGTTATATATAGCAGCGACTGGAGAAATAACAACATTTTTATTTGTTAGACTCTAAAAGATAAAACTCTTTAGGGCAGCAGCACCATGGTAGGAAAACTCAAACAAAAAAAAACCCAAAAATAAATAAAAAACAGATGCAGAACTTTACATGTTCAGAAACCTCAAGCAACAGTAATTGAAATGAATGCATGCTAAAGACTTGGTTAACAGCCACTCCTTGCTCGGGAGACATTTTGGGAAAAAGTAACTCAATATGAGCATGAAAAGTATTTACAAGATTAACCTTTCAGACTAGTCCTTTTAAAAGGAGACTTTATTCTCCAATATATATTGATCCAATAAAACATGTACGTTCCAAATAGGAGCTTGTTCTTTAATTGGACAGGCTGATTTAGAAGTAAATCAGTAAAGTCACTATGTCTGCAAGAACTTTATATATTGCAATTTTCTATCAGTGTAGCAGTTTCCCGTAGAAGTAATTGTAGCAGCTATACTGTACACACAGTACTGAAACTGTTACCACTGTATCACATCTCCCCAGTCTAGACAAGGTCTCAGTAGGATACTAATTGAAAGCTGGAAGGATTTTTAAGGATTTTCTTCCATTTTGTGCAAGAAAGCAGGTTTATTGCTCCACTACTAACTACCACTCTCCGAAGAGACCAAGTAACATCCGTCACACTTGAACCAAGATCAGTGAGCTGGAAGACCTGCCTTTGTAACTAAGATAACATGCACGCTGCTTTCTGAAGTAGTCATGCAGTGAGTAAACAAAATCTCATTAATGCTTTGCGTGATTTTCCATCTACGACACTTCACCCTGAAGCATGCTTTCATTTTATCTAATCTCGAAGAACTGAGCTGCTCCGTTTCGGGTAAAACTGACTTAGCATTTTCTGAAAGGGTACTATTTATGTTAATTCTACATGGATGTATTAGGGAAAAAATGGAAGTTTTCTGTCAAGATGCTGTTCTGAATGAGAGGGAAGCACAGAACAGATGGTCAACCCCAGGATGACATCCCAGCATATCCTTGTGTGAGGCCAGACAGCGGGAGGGGGGCAGATGTGATTGTTCAACGTTGTAAATGCTCAAGCCTAGGAAAGCTTTAGAAGGATGGAGTCAAACACTCTTAGACAGTCACACTTACTAGCAAGTCATGAACTTGGTATCATCAAATCTAATATTTGAATCTAATATCTCTGCAATAAAAATATAAATAAAAAGCCACACATCTTCAAAAATCATAAATCTTAAAAGTAAATCATTTTGAAAGGGGCTGTTGTTTCAAATTACCTGTTTTAGATTAATGGATATAGTAAATAGTTTTCTATGAACTGCTTCACATTACCTGTATTTCTAGCAATATGCATCTAAAAGAATACTTTCGGGTTTTTTAGCTAATCCATAAAGGGAAGGACTTCAGTATACTCAGGCTTTGATGCAGGCTTTTTCTTTTCTTCAAAAGGAAAAAAATCCCTTTGAGAAGTTTTACATTGTTTGTCACTTGTCATCAAAATAACAAAGCAATCCACAGCAAAACTACTTACAAACTATCTACAGCTACTTCAGTCACATCTTTCATAGACACATTTTTCTGTTCCATTATTTGGACAATTTCACCTGTAGAAAAACGTACGACATTTTACTTTCAACACAAAGCCAAACGCACATGCTGTGTCTCCCTTTAAGAGATCCACACCCAACACCTACGCATGCTTACAATCACATTCTCCCGTTCTTATTGGTGTCAGTTCCCTCCAGTAACCGAGAAGCCTGGCACTTTCAGCCCTGAAGAAAAGGGCCTTCCGCTTCCTCTACACTGTAAATAATGATATCCTTAGCCTTTCAGTGGCATAAAATTGGGAAGAAGTTTCTGTACCGCAAGGAAGAAAGGAGGATACATTGTTTGGACATTAGACCTAGAGACAAGAGCCACACCACAAAGCCACTGGTGCCATGCATTTAGAAAGTTAACAATAATTCCAGTAGAGATTAATTGGTGAGCACAAATGACCAAGACAAAGATTGTAATATGGATTTGTATAGCTCTTGCCTTCTCAAGGGGTTGACAAGAACAAATACCTCAGTCTTGTTTTTGGATGAACTCAAAATGTGTTTCTTGCTTGCACTTACCCTACCCAATACCTCTACTTCCAGCAGCACAAGAAAGGATACTTCTTTTTAAAGCGCCGGGGGCGGGGGGGGGGGGGGAAGCCAACTAAAACAGGCTGGAAAAAAACAGAGTCCAGGATAAAGGCTATTCTAACAATGGAGATTCACGTATAGCTTTATAAATAATAAGTTGAAAGAAGTTTTAACCTGATGTTAGAACACAATCGACTTCTTGAGAATTATACAAGGCAGTGTAGAAATCTTCCCGCAAGGCTTCCAATTTTTTGTCATAACAAGGCGCCACAATTACATGGAAAATTTTATCAGGAGGCAAGTTCTGTGAGACATAAAAAAAAAGAACATGTGAACTCCATGAAGGGCAAAGGCAGCTTGAAGGATGACAAGGATGAAAAATACCACCATAAGCATTATAAAGGTAATACTAATAATTAACCCCTGGTGATAAATTGGAAGACTAAGCACACAGATAAAGTCATTTGCCAGTAGTCATAAAGCATCAGCAACAATCATCCAAAGTCAAGAGTCTTCTGACTGAAGACTGCGTTTATGCCTTCAGACCACATTTTGCACAGCTTTTGTTGCATTCCTTTTTCAAGGCAGTCAGAAGGAAATCCATGTGGAAAAAACTATGCTTTCCTATGTTATCTGGATGCAGTAAAATCTGGGCGGAATATGTGAAAAGAATGGCAACTTTTTCAATATGCACGATTGAGAAGAGAGAACGTTCAGTTTCTAGGATGCAATGTTCTTTCCAGATACAGGAAAACAGGGTCATTTCTACATTATTTTCCTCTGCTCCCTGTTTTGGCTGTGGTATAGAAATCCACAGGCAGCATTTAACATGAAATCTCTTTAGCCATCCTGGAGTTAATATTACGCATAAATATCTAAGCTCCTATTGCACTGGGAGCACAAGGATTGCTGCCAGCACACTGCATGAAATGAGGTTCTTTGTACGTTTTCTGTATCATGGATACTTGCATAGGAACAGAGCACAATTCATTCCTCGAGCGAAGGACAAACAGTTCAGAAAGATGCTTTATCTTTTTACAGAACAGTAAGATCTATGTTTCAGTATTAAAGCCTAGTAAGCCATCTTTTTAGAAAAGTCTCACTGAAATTAGTTACCTGCTGCCTGGCAAAGTAGCCCTTCACCAGGGAGCCCATGATCTGCTGTGGAGACTTGGCAGTGCAAATGTGAGAGGTCACAAGATTGGTAAGTACCCTTTCAGCATACCGGATCCAACCTCAAATGACAGCAAATCAAAGTTAGTGAAGTGGAATGCAAGCGTGGCAAGCTGACAGCAGTTATAGTAAAGCTCTTCTTAAAAACAAAGACAACTTCACAGTAGGTAGGATGTTTCTGTAAGCCATTATTCAGTTAGGCAAGTAGAAGCAACATATTTCTGCTTTGAAAACGCAGTCTGCGCAGACTGGAAGCCCCACCTTGAGAACTGCAGGAAACCTCAAGACTCCATTAACGATAGTTTACAACTGGTTACGGATAATCCACTGTGTTGTTAATTCCAGACCTAGAGAACACTGAATGAACAGCCTATTACACCCTTTCTAAGGCATAGATTTAACAAAGAAGAGGATGCCAGCTAACAAAAAATAAGCTGATGTTCTAGACCTCACCCCTGGGATCAGCAGATACTACAGCAAGTGTACTCTGTGCAGCTGCTGTAACTTTCCGTTTCCTGAGATTTGATAGCCACGTACCAAGTATCCATGTATCCTTGCCCTCTCTAGAGAGGAATGAAATGAAGTATTATCCAAAATGGACATGGATTATGCCTGGAGGGAAAATTAAAAAAAAAAAAAAAAAAGAAGGCTTCTTTTGCTATTGTCAGGGTAGCCAAACCTCATTTAGAAACACCTCGCACACAAAGTCATCAACTCAAATCTCTCTATACTCAATATTCAGTCTTAGATACGTAAGATTCTCCCTCCTTTTTTACCAGACTCGTTTGGCATTTTGGCTATTAATTTATCCTCACGCTACCCCCAATATCTAGAGCAGCTCTATTATTCCCCATTTTCTAGAACAGGAACTAATTAATCAGCAGATTAAGATATTTGGGGTGTGTATCTCTTACTTAGGCATTGTAACTCTTACTGATAACAAGAGTCCGGTGTCTTTCACCGCAAGGACTTAAGTTCAGAACTTTCTGCTTCACCTACATGAATTCAGAACCAGGTAGCTAAATGGTGCAGAAGGGTGAGGCCCAGCCCTCTAGGGAAGTTTGCCGCTTCTGGTGCTAAGAGGGAGTTTAAAAAGGGAAAAAGAAAAAAAAATCTCATTTAATCTTTTATCTTCAATCAGATAGGTGTTTAAATAACAGATAAAAATTGCTGTAAGGTACATGCTAGCCAGGAAAGGTAACACCTGTAGGTTAATTGGTAACATTTAAATTTAGAGTTTATTAGTTATTTATAAATATATTCAATTCAAAATACAGCCAGTAAGGCCAGTAACAGCTAGAAACTGGAATCCAAGTGGTATTCAGAGGGTTTGTCTCTGTACGGAAGACGAGCGGTTTTCTGGAGTTTAGCATAATAAACCTTTCGTCGTGAAAATGGGAAGGTATAAATTTTAGGGAATCACGAGGATCCTCCACCTGTTTAGTATCCCCAATTCTTGTTTAAGTCACATACATTGAGATTAACAGATACTTGTCTACAGGAGAAAGTTCACCTAAGATGCACGTTATCTTGCACAAGCATTCATTTATGTTCTAGAAAAAGCTACAGACTATAGATTTACATGTCAGGACTGTGCTGAACTGCTGATTTCTGAATAGAAGCTTGCTTAATGTTCAGTATCAACCAGCAATATGCGTCTAAGGCATTATCTACAACAAAGAATTTAATTTCCTGGTGCTTGGTATAAAGCCTAGATTAGCATATTCTGCACGATGTGCATACTATCATAACTCCTTAAAGGGCTTTAGTCTCACATGCTGTCAAAATAGAACAAACACTGTTTCAAACAAAAGGAGGGCGTATTTTCTTTATTAAAAGACTTTCTGCCTCTGGTCACTTTGACAGCGTTTTTGGACCTCAGCATTCTTCTTCCTTTAAACTGCAACTATGATTACCATTAATCACCACAGCACTCTAGCTGTGTGGCTCATTTTCAGAGGCTGAATGTTTTGAATATCGTAGTCACAAACTAGAAGGAAATTTCACTAATTTCCAAAAAAACTGCTGCCACATATTGCCTAAAGTAACTTCTTAAATGGTTTCTTTCCTTTGCAATAGATAAAACAAACGTCCTGTAGTTCCAGCTCCACAGTGACCATTAGTCACTGTTAAATTATACAGGCAGCCTTGGTGAGTGAGCAATACAAGGCTTTTATCTGCGCTTCACACACGCACTAGCCATTTCTGCCTACTCATTAACGGGGCTGAATTCCACCAGCCACAGCTACAGGAAACCTAAGATACTCAGTTCTTACATCAACGTATATCTTTACCCATACAGACTTACAACCTTCATAAGTTCATTCAGATGGCCATTTGTCACTTTGCGTTAGGGCCAAAGAACAAAAAGAAACCCTACAAATCCCTGTATAAGTTCTTACAGGTGTACTTCAGAACACACGTTATTTTTAGTGGTTTACTGCAAACAGGTCACGTACAGACACCTATGCTATAAATATCTATGCATCACTATGAAGTGCAGAAAAAATAAGTAGGAAAGCATCCACTACTCTAAAGCTGCATTCCTGTAAAAGGAGATGAGTCTGGTTGACTGGGACATCAGCGTGGGAATCCCCAATAGCTATGCTCTTCCCCTATCTGTAAGCCTGTCCCATTTATCTGTTTTGGGAATTACCAGAGGTTGGCAATGTTTTAAAAACACCGTCTGGTTCCTAGAGCAAGTGCTCAATGTCAGTTACCAATCTGCTAAATTAAGAAAGAGAATTAATTATTTCTGAGGTATTACACATACAATCGGTAATTGCAATGGTGTTATTTTGAGCGGAAAATAAAAGCAAAAAGTTTCCTCCCCTCTTTAAAAAGGGAGACTAGGAGGAGAAGTAAAAACAATTAAGACAGACAATAAAATGCCCTTTTATCTGGTTCTGGGGCTATGCCTGCTATGCTCTTTCGCGCAGGGTAGATTTTACACCACAGACCACTACTACAGAGGGCAATATTTCAATCTGCAGAAAGCTGCACCCAAAGATAAATGAGAGTAAAGCAGTTATACTTCAGTTCATACTGACCTTCTATCTACAAAGCTATATAAAAAACAATTTTGTGCTAAACACACACACCCAATAAACAACATTTCTGGGACAAATTTGTGTAACCTAGGGGCAGGGAGGGGGAAGGAGAACAAGGAAGAGAAAACGGACTCAGATGACCAAAGTCAGGAAAAAAAATTACTTTCAAGACAGATCATGAAATTTGTCTATACTTGAAAATGAAGCATCACATACTTTCAGAATGGTTTTGCTGTGGTATTTCAGTTCAGTTTTCCAGAAGCGGAAAACACCTAAGCCTTTCCTCACATCTACGCCACAGCAGATAGCTAGCACCATAACGAGCACTGAAAACAGGAACAGACAAGGCCAAAAGCTCCCCGCTAACTTTTAAAATAATTCTAAGGAAAGGTGCAGATAATCTCAGCTACTTCCACTGGAGCATACACAGAATAAACAAAATACAAATATAATTTAATTATCAGTAATTAAAACTTTACATCAAGGACAATAGCAGATTCTGGAGACTACCAAACACATCCTTTAATTCACTCTTTTGCAACATTTCTTTAAAAGAAGATAATCAACTGCAGTTATTCTAATGTTAGAGAGAAACATTGTTGTGTTTTTACTAGAAAGCCTTTTGAGAAGCACCACAGCAAACTTATTAGGGTGGGGCTGGAGAGGGGAGAATCAGACAAAGGAACGACTTTTGCCCCCTTACTCATGTTTGTGTTTTTAGGAGAGTGACCGATCATACAGGGAAGCTCAAATGATGCTCTGCTAATAAATGCAAGAAGTAAACAACTAGGAAAGAGAAAGACTGGGATGTACCACATGTTTTCAATTATGAACAGAACCTGCATTTATCATAACAGAACACATCTCAGGTGCAAAATTCTCAGAACTGTGTGACATTTCAAATTGGAATTATTTTGTAAGTTTTAGACTTCGCCATCTCACAGTCAATACAAATGTCACTCTCTACTTTCCCTGAGACTCAAGTGACAAATGACAAGTTCAAAACTTTGCATAAAATAAACACAGTTACAGTTTAATTATATCAGTTAGCAAAGGTATTTTTTCCTTCAAGGTTCTTTTCAATAATGGAATGGTATGTTAAACTTTGTGGTCTAGGCACACAAGCAGCAGCTAGTGACTCCTCTATCTTAATTCTAGTTCTGTCAAATTCCTCCTAAGGCCTTACTTACACAAAGCACTGAGAACTTCAGCGCTCCTGTACCTCAGCTGCACTGTCCAGACACTCATATATATTCGTATTTCACATGCTGCTTCTGTAGAAGTGGTGTGAAATACAACCGACTACTGGAATCCAGGCATAAGCAGTGGCACAGGAAATTGCTTGTTCAGGTTCCTCGTGCTAGCAGAAGCTGCGGACTATCAGCAGAGTTCATTTTCAGAAACAGACTTTACTCGCCGTACTTTTCCCTATCTTCATCTTACAGTTGTCTCCTTTTGAGCTCTGAGAACTTACAGGAACCTTTGTATCTGACTGCACAGGAGCTGTACTGAATCAGCACATACCTTATCCAAATTGATCACACCCATTCTTGTCTGCATGGCTCACATTTATGGCTGTGCCAGCTTGCTTGCATATGGGAAACCTGCTGCTGCTGATGCCTGGTAACAAACTCCACCCTCTCAACAGCTCAAAGAAAATGGGACAAACTAACACTGCATTAAAACACCCCAAGGACGACCAGCACTACAGGTAACATATACCATGAGCTGCAAGATTCGGTGTCTTTCAAAAGCCAAGCCAAAAAGCTGCAAGTTCCATAAAGCTCCCAAACAAAACCACCCTGCTCTTAGTTCCTTGGTGGTCCCGGTGAGACTAGGCTGAAATGCAGAAAGGTTTGAGGAATCAGTTCTTACCAGGGCAAGCAGAGGCAAACATTGGTAAGGCATGCTCCTCCTGGTTCCTCTGTTGATACCGCTGCACAAATTCCCTCTGACTCTCCAGGATACTGAAATCAGCAGCTATAGTGGTGTCAAATACATAATGCACCCCTATGAAACAAAGCGGTAAGGAAGAGTGAATTGAATTACTAGAACATTTTCTATCTCACAGGCTTCTTCTCACATCCCAGGTCTATAGAAAAAACGTACAAGATCAGTGGACATACTCTCTACCCTCTACAAGTTTTCGCAAGCAGTACAGTCAAAAATAAAAGTCATATATTGAAAAGACTATCTTCCATTTGCGTCATGAATTTAAAAGAAATACCGACTTGTTAATGCTGACTAGCAACATTTCAAATGGCTGTCTGCTTCCTTATGAAAAGCTCGTCTCGTCATCCAGAACATATTTGCTTTTTGTTTGCTTGTTTAATTGAAGGGTATCTCAAAATAGCAGGGCTATAGGCAGCGACTCTTGAAAGTGAGCGTTCTTTTAAAGATATGCTGAAGTGACATTTTTTGCGTGACAAAAACTTACATATCCCACTAACAGGCATATCTTCCACGGCTGAGGTTGCCTGTGGAGCTACACAAGTTTATTACCAACATAGCAAAGACCTTCTATCTGCTTATGTACTCCCTATACACCTATGTAATACTGAACATGTCCCTGCAGCAAGGGAAGCAAAGATAATTGAAAGCGTTTTTAAGAAAACTGGGGCTCACCAGCGCTTAGCGTTCCTTTCAGATTAAGAAAATATACTGGGCATAGAGATACATAAAAACATATTGTAAGGAGGACAACAGTTTACAGGGTTATTACCCTCCTTCCTCCCTCAAGTGCGTAGAAGAAAAAACACAAACACCTCTCCCCCCCCACAAAACAAAACCCCACTAAACTACAGGCAACAAGCAAACGGTAAACTAAACTATATGCATATATATATAAATATAATATATATATATTTTTTACAATTTTATAGAGCATATGCTATAAAGAACAAAGAAAATACAACTTTAACATAAAATAGGCAGATACAGCACAGTTCTTGCAAGTCATTTCAAATTATAGAGAAAAACAGAATTAGGAATCTTCTAGAGACATAAAATATCAAAGGACTAGTAGCCATTTAGGATGAGAATTCCCCTCCTCCTCAGTTACAAAATAAGGGGATATCTTACTGAAACTCATGACCAAACTTTGATCTCTTGCTAGCGAAGGTTTCACGCGTGAGAAAGGCCAAATTAAAGGATTCACTTGTTTTAGTTATGGGAAAACATATTAAAAAAAAATACAAGTTTCCTCTTTTTTTTTCCAGAAGTTACTCATAAATTAGGCTTCCTTACTTTTCTGTTTGGTCAGAAAGTCACATGTTGCATAGTTGAGTCCTATGAGTATTGCCACATTATTCACCACACATTTTAGTTTCTCCTACATACGTCTTCCTCTCTTTGAATGCTACAGAAATTAACTGACCAAAGACCTGCCACATTTTCTTTCTTTCCATCTACTAATGGGTGCAGAGGAAGACAACTCCAGATCTGGAGAGGCTGCTGATTTGCAGCCATTTCCCACCTCAGCAAAGCGACCTCTTATGGTTGCAGACCTCTCTAAATTCAGTTATCAGGCATCTAACAGAAAAGAAATAAGCTCTCTTCCTTCAGCATATCTATTCTTACCAATCCCTTTACTAATAAGGCTTGCACAGCAAAAAAGCATTAACGGCACCCAAAGGCATTTTTGCATGCCTTTCACAATGTGTAAATGCTTTTAAATTCTGCCTGGTTCATACTAATCACCTTTCAAGGATAAGTCCTAAGAAGTCTGTCTCACTTCTAAAATTCTAATTCTTACATGGAAAAGAAAACCTGGGTATCCGAGACATCTACTTTCTGATGGAAACTAGACTGCTTTAAGCAGCACAGATCATACGCTTCTAATTAAATCAGTAAGGAATGTTACTGCATTTTAGCTTTTCTAGATGCACTCAAAATACAACTGATAACCCAGTCTTTCAGAACAGAATGAAAATGTCTATAAAGAAAAAAAAATGAAAACCTGATCTCAGTGTGAAGCTTCTTGCAGAAGCAAGGTGGGGGGAAGAAGAAGAAAGAAAAGGGCAAAAGAGCAGCCCTGAAAGACAGCTCAGAGTTCCATACCATCCTTCTATTCCGTTGACCCCCATCATCATGGTAATACCTCAAATCCATTTCTGAAACTTGCACCAGTATGTCACTAATATCACAGAGTACATATTTTAAATTGAACTCTAAACCAGATTGTGTAATAGCAATTTTATAACTGCATAACAAACATAATCCTCTCGGGGAAGCAAAAACCTAAAATAACCTCCCTTTTCCGCTCCACTAGCATAATAAACTCAAACTTACCGAGACTTTTGAGGAAACCACAGAGCCTCCTGGCTGCATCATTCACAGAGAGACTGAACTTAGCAGCAAAATAAGGCAATGACTGAGGGCATATAGACACTGCCAACACTTTGTGTTTTGAGGTATCACATTTCTGGTAAACAAAACAAGAACACAGGAAACAAGGTGTGTAATTACCACTAGGTAAGGTTCTCTATTTTCCCTCCCTCTCCCACTCCTGGAGCTATTCCTCGGTATCCTACGTTTCAGTGGGCCATACCATGAAAACCCCTATGAAACAACGACCATGTTTCCTGAGGACAGAACAGGATGTTCTTCTGAGCCTGACAACGTTGAGCTGTAATCACCTCTAGACATTGCTTTTGTACGATCCACAGAAACCCATCCCTTCTAGGACAATCCTGCGTTTGGCCTGTTAAGGGCATAAGGAAAAATTCAGAGACCTCCAGCACCTACAAAGTTTTGATTCCTAGCAGGGTCTAGTATCCCCAAATAGGGAAAAAGCAGTACGTTCAGTACTAAAAAGCATTTAAAACTAACGTATCCAAGAGCGCGAGCACCTGAAGTTACAAATCCAACCCCGCAAACTACGGATCTGATTCTTTGTTAAGGTTCCTCTGTAGCTTTCTCACTGGAGAAGTTGAGGAAAATCGGCAAGACAGAACCCTAAATAAACCAATTCATAGTACAATGTTTTGTTAGCACCAAAGAACCATTTGGAAACAGCTAAAGTAATGAGCAATTGTAAAGCTCTGGTGACTGTGGCATTTATTTGAATATGAATCTTGTGTTTTAGTTGGTTCTCGTAGCCATTAAGAGTTTCTTACCTACATGGTGGACCCTTGCAAGTCAAACTGGCCATACGCCACAGACAAGCCTCGCTCTAGAAACGTTAGAGACCACAGTTTGGACCACCTAGACACCCTAAACACTATACAAGAGCTCTGAAGTAGAGCTCCTCACCGACTGGCAAAGTACCTTCCTTGCTCACTGTTCTATTTAGGACCCCCCCAAACTTCTGTCCAAGACACCTGGCTGCCTCCAAATTACGGACTTGAGACTCGCTGGACAGGATCTCACGTGACCCGGTATTTTTTTCTTGTTTGCCTCTAATCTCTATTCCTGTGTGTCACGTACCTCATCATGCTGCATGGAGAGTTAAAACTAGTTTTACGAAAAATTAATTGCTATGTGAGGAATCCTTTTTATCATGATACTTAGGTATATATCAAGAAAAAGACAGCATCAATTCTGAAGTAGCTTATCCCTACCAAGTAAAAACACAAAGTCTGGAACGGAACCAAACTAACTACATCAGTATCAACATCTAAGGATTTGAGCACTGTGTGTATCAACTACCTTCCAGGGACTCTAGGTCTCAGCAGACAGCGTGAGACAGAACACGTTTATCTGTTTTGCATGAGAGTCTTGGCCAACAACTTACATATCCAATACAGACAGCTCAAATACATACTAAAAACAATTCTACTTTCAAAAACTAGCTTTTGGTAACTTCAAATTACGTGGGCAAACCTCCAGAACAATCCCAGTAACTGAGATATGCATATTTATAAACACTGAACCACGGGCAAATTCATTATTACAGTAACGAGGTAGTTGCGTTTTGTAAAAAACTACTTCTGTAGGGTCTACCATTTAGGTTCAGTGCTGTGATCTTGCCTCTCCACTGCAGAATTATTTTAAATACTTCACTGTGCATCTTGCCTTTAGTCTTCACTTCCTCTTTAGATGAAGTATTTCCTGACAAATCTTCACATTATCTGCCTCGGGAAACCAGCTGCTTAGTCATTCTGTAATTTCCTCCTCCTCACAGAAAACGGTGTACTATTTCTGTCAGTTTACCTTATTAAGGTTGAGTATGCGAAAGAGCTCCTTTTGATTCTGCTGGAAAACCCTGACTCCTTCTTCTGATGTCATACAATTGTCACAAGCTAGGCAGTCGCTAAGGAATATTTTAGCATTAGCCAAAGCATGAAACTCATTTTCCTGAAGGGGAGGAAAAAAAAGTGTATAAGTGTATTTGTACATAAATAAACAAACATTTAACAACAATCAACCCATTTTCAGGATTTCTTTAGATAAAGAGCAAGCATGCTCTGTTTTGTTTATAACAAGACAATTCATGATGTAGGAATAACACGTAAGATTACCTAGAAATAATCTCATCTGTTCCATCCTTCTCCATGGCTCTGCTCCTATTACTACTGTGAAACTGCAAAATGCAAACGCACAGACCTAAATTTACCTTTCAAGTCCACATTCTAGTTACGTGATTTGCGCTGGATGTCAGGACTGGCAGTCCCCATCAACTTACCAAGCGACTGAGAAAACTTTCCTTTGAACTATTAAGCCACTTGAGTAACACCACAAGAACTGGAGCAACTAGCTTGGGTTTTTCCCCAAGCACGTACTAGCAATGTTTGCAATCAAAGGAAAAAAACGTTACATGTTTTTGAACTTTGTTTGCCTCACACAAGCAAGATGTCTTTGGCAAGAGCAGCTGCAACAGGCAGAAGCAAAATACAGCTTGAGAATTGATCATTTACTGCAATAGAAAGTTCTGTAGTTCTTGCTAGAACATTGTTGGCAGCTCATCTGTGGAGAGAGGGGATATTTGGACAGAAGTGCAAGATAGCCAGACTACTTAATGAAGAACCCGTGCCCAGGGAAACAGTGACAGATCACATACTGTTCTTTGCCAGATAAGTTTGTCTTAAAAACACATTTTGTGCATTTTAACTGTCAAGCATCCCTCTTTGCTCCTTAAAAGCCCTGTTGTTTTGATTATTTGAAGCAGAAGTTGCATTCTTTTTGACACGCAAACAACTTCACACAAACAAACCTTAAACTTCTGTTTAGTGCTTGCGTACTAAGGATTTTTTATTCCATCTTTTTAAAAGATTCTTGATTCTCATATTTTGAGGTATGTAGAAGCGCTCATAATTTTCTACCACTGCTTGTTGACTGGCGTGCTTTACGCTCAATATACTTGAAAAGTCTCTGTAGTGCCATCCCATGGGGCATGCCACAAAGGACAACAAAAATAAGAGCACGTATGTGAATTGTTACAAGGAATATTATTACCTCTTCAAATTCGGCATTTGAAGTCAATGCATTAACAGATGTGTTTTGCGTGTCATCATTTTTCTGTTTTTTACTGCATTCCTGAAACAGAAAATAAAATACATAAGGCAAAACAGGTTAGTAGTTCAATAAAATGATTCTTTGCAGAACTGTTCATATCATTAGAGAGTTACGTAGCTTTTTGTAATGGTTTTTGACAGCCCTAATTCTACATCGTTATGCACAATGCTGTGTTTGCAAAGCACGTTTGTCATAGTTGAAAACAATTCCTCAGAAATTCCCTTGCTTCAAAGTTCGAGTGTTTCTATATCCCATGGGGAAGATTCAATAAAAACAGGACAAGTCCCACACGCATCGCAACCACGGTACTACACGATCGTTCGGGGCAATGCGAAACACCCGTGACACGACAACGTTTAATACTTTTCTGGGGAGGGATCGCGGCGTTTGGGTGCTACCGAAACGCGTCTAGGGAAGCAGAATGCAGCCGGGAGGCAGCTGAGCAGGGCGGGCGCCAGGCCGCCTGGGGTCACGGGCTGGCGGTGCGCGGCCGTGACCTTGGAGCCCA